TCGAAGATAATCAAAAGATGATTAATTTGATATATTATATATATAAAACCGATAAGAAATACAAAAATTATCTATTTTTAGAATACATTTATAATTCAATAACTTATTGAATGAAGCAAATCAAAATTTAGGGATATATTAGTCACTTAGTACCTCATTATGAAAATTACAAAGAATTAAAGGGTTATATTAGTAAAAGTGATATTAAAATATCTAAGTTAGCTAAATAATATTTATGGAATACCCAAACCTAGCTTATTAATTATTAATATATTAATATTATTTGTCCAAACCTAATTACGAAGCATGATTCTTTGCCAAATAAGATTACGAAGCACCAGAAGCAGCCACGTAGGCTCAGCGCATTCGGGAATTATATATAGGGAGGATTTAGATCAATGACACATATTTAGTTAATACGAAATGCATATTTAGTTCATCCATAATACATATTTCTTATATTTAAATTAATATATAATGATGCATACTTAGTTAATTCATGATGTATGTTTAGTTCATATGAAATGCATTATTTTTATATTTAAATTAAATATATAATGATGTATATTTAGTTCATTTATTCATATTTAGTTCATAAGGATTCCATATTTGAACCAATGCATACTTGGTGAATTCGTGATGCATATTTAATTCATATAAAATGCATATTTAGTTCATCCATAGTACATATTTGTTATATTTAAATTAAATATATAATGATGCATATTTAGTTCATTCATAGTGCATATTTGTTATATTTAAATTTAATATATAACGTTGCATATTTAGTTAATTCATGATGCATATTTAGTTCATAGATGATACATATATAGTTAATATTAAATGCATATTTAGTTCATACATAGTGGATATTTGTTATATTTAAATTAAATATATACATGTGCATATTTAGTTCATTCATGATTCATATTTAGCTCATACGAAATGCATATTTAGTTCACGTAAGATATACTCATAGCTATTTATTTGTGTAGATGAATGACTTATATTAATTAATGAAATTTTAAATTAATTATATAATAAAAAATTAATAATTATTATTTTTAAATCAATGATATGAAATGCACATTTACTGCAGATTTTCGCTGCATATTTAGTTTATTCATGATGAATATTTAGTTAATAATAGGTGCATATTTAGTTTAAAAACACTACATACTTGGTTGATATTATTGATGTTTAAAGTTCATAAAGATTGCATATGAAATTCATACATCCATACATATTTAGTTCATATTCAGTGCATAATGCTGAATGCATATTTACTTCATACATGATGCATACTGAGGTCAAATGGTCAACGACGAAAGTCAGCGGACCTCCCCAGAAGTCAATAGTCAACACCAGAGTCAACGGTCAACAGTTAACGGTCAAGATAATATTTAAATAATTGAAATAATAAAAATAAAGAGTTAAATATCAACACAAAGAATTATTATTTTAATAAAGAATTAAATCTACATCTTGTACAAATCTGTGGTTAAAAATATATACTCACTTTAAATATGCGGATTCATCGAAACCAATGTATATATTTATATATATTTATCTATATATATACCCAATAAATACCAAGTTGAATTAGGGGTTTGAATTAGGATTGATGACGGCCATGCAAAAACGTTTATTCAAGGACCAGGCCAGTGGAGGGTTTTAGAGAATTGCCCTTTCTTCTTCGTTCAAACTTCAATCTTTTCCGATAATCAGATAATGTCGATCTCTCTCTATCCGAGCGAAGAGGATTACCTGTACGAGGAAGAGGTTTTACGCAACCCCACTAGCTACAAACTCTGGTGGCGATACCTAATTGCCCGAAGCCAATCCCCTTTCAAGAAGCGGGCGATCATCTACGAGCGCGCCCTGAGAGCCCTGCCTGGAAGCTACAAGCTCTGGCACGCTTACCTCCGCGAACGCCTCGAATTCGTGAGGAACTTGCCGATTACGCACTCTCAGTACGATGCTCTCAACAACACCTTCGAGCGAGCGCTAGCCACCCTGCACAAGATGCCGCGTATTTGGATATTGTACCTGCAGTCTCTGACCAACCAGAAATTGACCACCAAGACCCGCCGGACTTTCGACCGCGCTCTGTGCGCCCTCCCCGTCACTCAACACGGCCCGATTTGGGAGCACTACTTGGTTTTCGTCTCCCAGAAGGGCATCCCGATCGAGACCTCCTTGAGGGTTTACAGGAGGTACCTGAAGTACGATCCAAGCCATATCGAGGATTTTATTGAGTTTTTGGTCAATTCAGAGTTGTGGCAGGACTCTGCCGAGAAGCTTGCAGAGGTTCTGAATGACGACCGGTTTTACTCCACCAAGGGGAAGACGAAGCACATGCTGTGGTTGGAGTTGTGCGATTTGCTGTCGCAGCATGCGAGCAAGATTTCGGGGTTGAACGTGGATGCTGTAATTCGAGGCGGGATTCGGAAGTTCACGGATGAGGTTGGTAGGCTATGGACATCTTTAGCTGATTATTATATCAGGAGGGGTTTATTTGAGAAGGCTCGGGATATATTTGAGGAAGGAATGACGTCTGTGACAACCATGAAGGATTTTGGCGTGATTTTTGATGCATACTTACAGTTTGAGGAGAGTATGCTTTCGATTAAGATGGAGTATTTAGATGAAAGTGAGGATGGGGATAGTGTGAATGGAGATGAGGAGGAGGAGGTGGATAGGCTGGACGTAAACAAGTTGAATAAGAAAATTGACAAATTTTGGTTGAAGGATGAAAACGATGTGGATTTGAGGTTGGCAAGATTAGAGTTTTTGATGGATAGAAGGCCAGAGTTGGTTAATAGTGTGCTTTTGAGGGAAAATCCTCATAATGTAGAGCAATGGCATCGTCGGGTGAAGCTTTTTGAACAGAACCCCACGAAGAAAATTCTGACTTACGCTGAGGCTGTGAGGACGGTGGACCCCATGAAGGCTGTTGGGAAACCACATACTCTCTGGGTTGCATTTGCCAAGTTGTACGAGGACCACAAGGATGTTTCAAATGCTCGGGTGATTTTTGATCAGGCCGTGCAGGTTAACTATAAGTCTGTGGACCATCTTGCCAGTGTTTGGTGCGAGTGGACAGAAATGGAGATGAGACACAAAAATTTTAAGGGTGCAATGGAATTGATGCGACGTGCTACTGCAGAGCCGTCAGTTGAGGTCAAGAAGAGAGGTACTTATTCTTACCTGTACAGTTGTACTTTGTGCTCCTTTTAACCTGCTATTTGTTTTAAAAAAACAAGTTTTGGTATTGGTCGGTATAGTTATTTCTCGAGTAGTGGTTTGGCTGCTCTCGAGTAGTGGTTTGACTGAGCATTCCTACTAATTCGACCTTCTGAGAAATTCACAATGTGTACCTTTGGTGATTTGCTTGCTCCTGAATCTTTGCTTAAGTATAATAGGTTTTACCATTTTAACAGCAAGAATCCAGTAGTATGCGCACAATGAAGAATTTGAAATATTTTTTGCATTAGTACCACAATCTGAGTTGGTCTGCGACTTGTATTATTGGTTTTTTTTTTTTTTCAATATGATGGATATAATTTTGTATTTGTTGTCAGTTGTGGATATCATACAGAAACTTTGTCAAGAGGAACATTGACTCTGTTTGAAGTGTCGTGTTAATATGTTTTCTTATGAACGTTCTTTTGTATGATACGGCACTAGATCTTGATTCTGCTCATATATGGTTAGCAGCATTTGTGTATGAATTAACAATACCTGGTTCTTCTCTCTAAAAAGTTGGGAACTGATGGCATTGTTGTCTTAATGAATTCTCCGACAAATTAGTTTCTGATGACTTTATTATGTATTTCATTTTGGAGTTAGCATGCTTAGAAGTAAGATATTGTGGTTCCAACAAAAGCTGGGAGACATGTCAGATTTACTTGTATTAAACATCAATTCTACTGTGAAGTATGATCATGCCATGAAATGTTCTACATAGGTTCATTCTTCTTCAAATTATCAATTATGCTGTTAAGTTTTCCCTCTTATCATGCTTGCTGTATCTTGGTGTGTGGTACAAACTGATTTTGAAGTTCTTTATTAAATCTTACACATTCTTTCTGATATTGTAGTGCCTACCTAAAGCATTTGATAATGCCAAGTGATGATCAACATTATTCTGATAAAGGGTTTTCAGAATAGTTACTTATATTGTCTAATCAATGGAGCAACAGTGACAGCTCTGTCTTATTGAAATGAGATTGTGGTATCCGTTCTCTTCCAGCTACGTGATGTGATTAAACTTGAATTTATACTGTTTGCATTTTCTGCAGTGGCGGCTGGTGGTGATGTTCCTGTACAGATGACAGTTCATAAATCCCTTAAGAACTGGACTTTTTATGTTGATTTGGAGCAAAACCTGGGCAGTTTGGATTCAACTCGTGCTGTATATGAAAGGATATTGGACTTGAAGATAGCCACACCTCAGATCATAATTAATTATGCTAAGCTTTTAGAGGTAAGTAATAGATCCTTATGGTTGTGGACTTGTGGTAGCATTGTTCCATAATCCCTCCTCTACCCTACTTTTTCCAAATATGATTTGACAGTGGAATAACTTATCGTTTTCCGTTGGTTGTGCAGGATAACAAATATTTTGAAGATGCGTTTAAAGTTTATGAGAGAGGCACGGATATATTCAAATACCCACATGTCCAACATATCTGGGACACTTATTTAAAAAAACTTGTCGAGAGATACGCAAAGTCAAAACTGGATCGTGTTCGGGAGGTTTTCAGGGTTGCGGTTCAAAAGGTGTGATTATTTGCACACTATTTTCTTAAATAAGTATTATTTGTTAGGAAGTTCTATAATGCGGCGGTTATTTCTTTTAATGTGGATGAAATTTAACTTGAAGGATCCAAACATCTCGGGACATTCATGGTTTTATCATCTCTTTATGATTGTTTTAATACTTCGAGATTATATTCTTGTGACAAACCATGTTTCGTCATTGTAAGTCATAAGTGCATTGTTGCGTCTAATGCATGTTATAAATTGATATACTTTTATGTGTATTTTGATTTTTCAATTCCCTTAGTGAATCTGAACTGACTGATATTGTTATAACACAAAATTTAAGAAGTTATTGTGATGCTTCTTTGTTTTAAGCAAAAAGAAAAGAAGCAAAAGAAAAAAAAAGTGTGTTCTTTTTCCTGAACTTGCTGCATGATGACCTCAGACTTATCAAGTGAGTGTGGCAACTGGCAAATAATTAACTTTTTCCTTTTCCTTTTTTTTTTCTCTTTATATTTCAGACTAATGCTTCTGTAAGACATTAGACCTCTGCCAATCAGCTTTAAGTCTATTTGCATTTATATGAAGTAACATTAATATTAAGCATAATCACGCATTACACCTTTCTCTGTGAAGTCACCATTCATTAGTCACTTGGAATTTGTTCGTATGAAGATACTGACTTGATTTACGTGTTTTTTTTTTTTTTATTTGGCTTTGATTAGACGCCTGCCGAATTTGTGAAACCTATCTACCTTCAGTATGCAAAGCTGGAGGAAGACTTTGGTCTAGCTAAAAATGCAATGGGAATATACGACAAGGCGACAAAAGCTGTACCGAATAATGAGAAGTTGAAGATGTACGAAATATACATTGACCGGGCCACTAAAATATTCTGCGTTCCAAAAACTAGGGAGATTTACGAGCAAGCTATAAATTCTGGCCTGCCGAAAAAGGATGTGAAGCTCATGTATATGAGATATGCTGAACTTGAAGAGAGCCATGGTGAAATTTGCCGAAGTCGTGCACTATATAAGTATGCCTCCAACTATGTTGATACAATAACCGATTCCGACTTCTGGAGCAGATGGCATGAGTTTGAAGTGCAGCATGGAAATGAAGATACTTTCAGAGAGATGCTCCGAACGAAAAGAACTCTTGCAGCCAGTTGCAGCCAAGTAAGAGTTGTGACTAGTTATGCTCATTTAGATACTTATTTTATGGCGTGGATACTGAATAGTGCTAGGGGTTTGGTCTAATCATATAAAGGATAACTAAAGGAAAAAAAAAAAAATCTTCAAAATCACAAGCACCAGACTGATTATTTAAAAAATACAAATCTCAAAGAGAGTTTGTAATGTGTGGAGGATATATCTACTACTGAAAGGATAATGGTTTAATCAGACAAAATTTAAATAGTAGTTTATATAATTAATCTGTTATGTTTAATCTATTTATTTTGCTCCTGTACCTTTTCCCGGTTAATGGTTGATTGTTGCTAACTCGTTTCTTTTTCAGGCACACTCCATCGTTCCCGAGTATTTAATGCAAAAGGATCAACTGCAGCCTTTGGAAGAAGATAGAGACGTGCTGAAGATGGCAAACGACACCAGTCGAAGGTTAGGGTTTGCGAGTGCTGGTGTGCAGAATGCACGGGAGACCCCAACAACCAATCAAGAGGATATTGAGCTGCCGGACTATAGTGACTCAGAAGATGACGTTGATGGGAAGGTTGAGATTGCTCAGAAAGATGTGCCCAGTGCTGTATTTGGAGGCTTGGCTCGGAAGAGGAACGAGCTGGATGATGGCGATGATGATGCGAAAGGCGGTGCTTCACAAAACAAAGACGATGATGGCCATCTTGGCGCCCTTGAAAGAATCAAGAGAAGACGAGGCGCATGATAAATGGTAGAGTTTCATTTGCTTATTTTTGTTAAAACTAGGAAGTTGCACGTGCTATGTACGTGATTTGTAATCATTTAACAGTTTTAATAGATTATGGAAAGCAATACGTGGAGGAATTATAAAATTTAACGGAATGATGCAATAAAATGATAGAAAAAAATGCATGGAGAAATTGCCAATTTAAAATGGAAATAAATGAATTAGTTGTCATTTTTAATGGTTTTCAACAGTGATATCTTCTTCTTGGAAGTTGATTTTTCTTCAAAGCAATATTTTTCCTCGTGATCCTAATGTTGGTCTCATCATCATCACTTGAATTAACGATGTCATCAAGAACTTTTTGTCTTTTTCTTTATTTGCATCCAGTCTCAAAGATGAATGAGAATTTGCGGGGATTTGGAGGGGAGGGGAGGGGAGGGGAGGTGATGTAAAATAATTTTACCTTGTTTGGATGGATTATTTAAGAGGGGAAGGGAGGGAAAATGGTAAACCTTTTTTGGTTGATGAAGGGAAAATAAACTAAAATGACAAATTTATCTTTAATGAAATAAAAAAAAAATAAAAACAATTGAAAGTAGGGGCTAAAAGGTAATTTTATATCATTACAAACCACTTCCCCTCCAAATCCCTCCAATTTTGGAGGGGAGAAAAAGTGGGGGAGGGGAGAGAAAATCACTTAAAATTTTCCTCTCCCTCCCCTCCTAATTTTCCAACCAAACAAGTGAAAATTAAAATTCTCCCTCCCCTCCCCTCCCCTCCCCTCCAAATCCCTCAAACCAAACAACCCCTTAAGTAAGAATTCCTCCCCTCCACCAATTTTGCTCCCTTCCAAAAGTGGGGAGATTTGGAGGTGAGGGAAAATATTAACACATAAAATTACTATATTGTCCTTATTATGTTAAATATTTTATTATTTTGTTTCTTACATCATTAAGGATATAATTGTCATTTTCACGATATTTTTTTTTCCCCTTCATTATTCTAACCAAACAAGGTTTGTCATTTTCCCTCCACTTTCCTCCTACAAAATCTCTCCAAACAAGGTAAAATTATTTTACATTCCCTCCCCTCCAGTTCGCTTCCTTCCATTAAAATCACTCTCCTCCCTTCCCCTCGGTTGAACCAAACATACCCTAACAATTTTTCTTCATCTTCTTCCGCCTTTTCTATTGCATCAGCTGCTAAGTTGAGGCTTCCCTTTTTTTTAGGGAATTATTTTTTTAACCTTCCAAACTATGCCGATTTTTACAACTTTTTTTTCTAGACAATTTGCCTCCCATAGTAATCGAAACTGACAATTTGCATCCTCGATTGAAAACGATAATATGGCAAAAAAAGTTATTAATTCAATTAACGATAAATTTTAAATTGGTCTTTAAAATTGATTTAGGCCTTTTAAAGCACACTAGTGTGTATCCTGTGCGATGCACGGACGAACTTTTTATTTAAAACATTTTCCAAGACTTTATATTAAACATAGTTATTTATGTTTAACATCTCATTATTGTAAAAAAAGAAATATCAAATATGAAAAATTATATATTATTTATTTGAATATAATGAGTGAAGTGAATAAGATTCACCCGGGCTCCTTCAACTCGAACCGGCCTCCGTACCTGCAGAACCCAACGCCGGGGGTGGCCCCGGCGTCGGGCCTCCGATGCCTAAGTCAGTGCTCGGATCA